TATGGCTCTGCATAGGAGAGCCATACAAAGCAGTGTGCTTACAGTGGAAAACACAGCTCACAGTAAAACAGCACACAGTTTACCCTTTGATTGCCCCACATATTAACCCCTTCCTGCTCAGTGCCATTAGTACAGTGTCAGTGCTTTTCATTAGCACTGATCACTGTATTGGTCCCACTGGGGATGTCAGTGACACCAAGTCTGTTCCCCAAAGTGTCAGAATGCCCACCGCAGTCCCGCAATCCCGCTATAAGTTGCTGATCGTCGCCATTACTAGTAAGAAAAAAAAAAATCACATTGAAGATGTTGATGACTAATATTCCAATTAAATAAAATGCTGTTGAAAAGTTTATTGAAATGTATTGAAAATATGCATTTTGCCTATGTGTTAGTGCACTATGGGGTTGATTTACTAAAACTAGAGAGTGTAAAATCTGGTGCAGCTGTGCGTGGTAGCCAATCAGCTTCTAACTTCAGCTTGTTGAGTTAAGCTTTGAAAAGAAAACATGGAAGCTGATTGATTTATATACGAAGCTGCACCAGCATCTCCAGTTTTAGTAAATCAACCCCTATGTGAATTAGGCTGGCCATACATGGCTGAAAAACTGCACCAATTCCCCCATGCACACATTTGAGGTGGACGCAGGAATCTTCCCCTCTGTGTCACTGTATTCTGAGAGCGGAGGACTCAGTTGGACCTGAATACACCTATTGGCTGCAGTGCTGATCAAACTAAAGTTTTCACCAAGCCCGTTCGTGAGCAGTTAATTAGTAGATTGACTGCTCACAAAAAGAACCTGCCATAGATGCATCAAATTTGGCTGGTCACTGCTGACCCGGCCACATTTTGTTCCATCTATGACCAGCTTTACTGAACAAAGTAGTACAGTTTTGTAAAAGGGCTTTAGCACTGTATCTGTATAGTCATTACAGGAAGGCTGTGGGAATGCATGGGTTGTCTCACCATCCTCCAGCTATACTTATCCACTGGTTATGCTAGCAGATGTGTCCAAACCACCAAAATATAAATAGAGTAAAAAGCCAAACTTTCCAACCATTCAGGATAATTTAAAGTTCAGTACGTAGCACCCTTTCATGTATACAAGCCTCAAATTTCTAAACATTTCTGTTTGATGTCTTTTATGTTCCTGCAGTACGAAAATACCACAGCTTTCTTTTTTACTTTAATTCCATATTCTAAATGGTAAAATTACTTTTTGTGCTACTGCACACGTGATTAGTCATTACACCAGCCATTTGATGGTTTGACAATTCAGTTGAGCAGACAGAAGCAGACTAGTAACTGTAACAGTCACCATTCAGGGCATGTATTGGATGCAATTGTTTTTGGAAACTATTAAATTGGTGGGTTTAGTTTACTTTAAGTACTTGATGACCGGCCTATAGCCGAATGACAGCTACGGTGTGGCCGCCTAGTTCTTGAGCACGTCATATGACGTCCATGCACCCGGCGAACTCTGTGATCGCTTGTTGTCATTTGTCGTGTGCATTTCATGTCTTCGAATTATTGTGTTAATAGAGGTAATATTATTAACTGACTATTGACTATATTAACCACTTGATGACCGGGCTATAGCCGACTGACAGCTACAGTGCAACCATCTAGTTCTGAGAGCATGTCACATGACGTCCTCGCACCCGGTGAACTCTGTGATCGCTTGTTGTCATTTGTCGTGTGCATTTCATGTCTTTGGATTATTGTGTTAATAGAGGTAATATTATTAACTGACTATTGACTATATTAACCACTTGATGACTGGGCTATAGCCAAATGGTGGCTGCAGCGCGGTTGTCTAGTTCTTGGAGGGCGTCATATGATGTCCTCCAGAACCGCACCTCCCCCACACTCCCCCTGGGGAGTGCACCATGCGAGCTCTGTGATCGCTGTGTCCTTTGGTCACAGCTGATTACATGAGATGGTAAAGGGTCAATCTCAGCTCCCTTTTAATATGCTATCAGCTGTGTCCAATGACACAGCTGATCACAATGTAAATACAGTTGCCGGTTATTGGCTATACTTTCCTCATGCTGTCACAGCGTGAGGCGACAGGAGAGCCAGTAATTGGCAAGTGTACTTACATATCCGAAGAGATCAGTGCAGCCCCAAGGGGACATCAGTGGAGCCCCAATAGTGTTCATCATTGCAGTCCCAACAGTGTCTATCAGCGCCGCCAGTCAGTGCCCATCATTGTCATATAGTTACACAATCTTGCTGAAAAAAAACAAAAGTCCATCCAGTTCAACCATAAAAAAATAAAACTATCAGTGCCCATCAGTGCCACATATCAGTGCATCCTCATCAGTGCCTTCTCATTAGTGCCCATCAGAGCAGCCTAACAGTGCCCATCAGTGCTGCCTATCAGTGCAGTCTCATTAGTGCTGCCTCATCAGTGCCCATCAGTGCAGCCTATCAGTGCCCATCAGTGCTGCATATCAGTGCCAATCAGTGCAGCCTCATCAGCGCACATCAGTGAAGGAGAAAAATTACCTGTTTGAAAAATTTTATAACAGAAACTAAGAACGTTTTTTTTAATTGTTGGTCTCTTTTCATCTGTTTATCAAAAAATACAAAACCCAGTGGTGATTAAATACCACCAAAAGAAATCTCTGCATGTCTACAAAAAAAGGATACAAATTTCATTTCGGTACAGTGTTGCATGACCGCGCAATAGTCATTCAAAGTGTGACAGCACTGAAAGCTGAAAATTGGCCTGGGCAGGAAAGGAGTGAAAGTGCCCAGTAGGCAAGTGGTTAATCTAAGGGAAAATTGCCATTACTGTCTGTGTCCCCATTGGAAATACCTCCTTACTTTCAGTCCTGGTGAAACTGTTGTCACCAGCACAGGAAGAAAGGGGAAGTGGAGTCACAGAGGACAATAGTGGTTAACAGAGTTTCTAACCCTTTCCTATTATATTTAGGGCTACAAAAAAGGGGAGAAGCCCCTACACTAATGTGTAGTAGTGCCAAGGCCTGCCATATTGCTGTATACTATAATGTAATTTTGTGCCATAAGCATATGTGTAGCACTTACCCCAAAGGAGTCACTTGATGTGTTGGGTCCTCTGTTCTTGTGCCCACGACTCTGCTATCACCTCTGTACCTGCTATCATCTCTGTACTGTCTGACACACGTGGTTGGGCTGGGGATATAGATCCAGACACCTGCGCATATAAATTTCTTCAAACACAGCAACACATAAACACCAGAAAATGACACAGACCTGTTTAAGTGTTAGCCAAGTATATTGTGATTGGTGTAATTAAAGAAGAGGTTATACAGGAATATATCAGGAAGGAAAGGTTATGGGTTCACCACAAAAGATTATAGCACAGCAGTTACCAATCAAACATTAGTAAACAGGAATATCTTAGTAATAAACTGAAATGATTTGCAAGCTCCAAACAATGAACAAATAATAACCATCCTCTTTCTTTACCCTACAAGGTGGCCTAGCTAAGGGAGATAGAGAGGACCCATAAGTGGTTACTGCAGCAACAGTCAGTAGTCCACATGTACTAAAATTTCTGCTTGTCATCTCGTTGGGGCCCAAAACCTTGCATTGTCGCACTCTGGGTAGTGTCAGTTTAAGAGCTGGTGCATGCTAAAGTAAAGTGTTCCTAGCCAGCAAGTCTGTCCCTCTGTTAGGTTGCAGTGTATGGTTGGCCAGCAGCTGCTGACCAGTCCTGTATAAGCAGAGGCTTTCTGCCCCCATCCCAAACCCTGGCACAAAGGCCTTCTCTCTTTCTATCTGGTGATATCCTTAGCACGTGGCTCTTTACTGCACAGCAGTACCCAAAGTCCAGGTTGCAATCCAAGGCTGAAGGATAGCACCAGTTCTGCTTTCCCTGCTTTCAGAAAAAGATGTTCCACTCACTGCTGTTACTGCACGCACAAGTGGGTTATGGTCTGTATCAGCATTGGTCTCCCTGAAGAAAGAGAACCTTCAACCTGTGAAAATTACTACTGTCCCTTCCCTTTATTGTCTCTCTTTTGGGATTTGTAGTTTTTTTCAGCCAACCTGTTGTAAAAGCTAAGTCTCTCTTGTAAACTACACTTCCCACAAACCTCCATGATTTTCTCCCTTGTAATTCATGTTCCACGGTTACCCTCTAGTGGGTGCAGGTTGAAATAAAACTGGCTGTATCTGTATAGAAGTCTTTTTGTGTGTACACACAAAGCAGTCCCACGAGACTGCAGCTATCCTCTCTTGCCAGTTAATTACCAAGCTACATATGTGAAAGAATACATTTTGACAAATTATTGAACAAATAAGTGATGCTTAGATCAGATAGGAACAAATATCATTAAAGTGTTACTAAACCCACAACAGTAAAATTAGACTGTATATGCAGTAAGGCATGCTTGTTATACTCACTGTGGAACCTAAGGGGTTAATCCTCTGCTTTGTGTAAAAAGGCTGTTTGATCTTGTCTTCTCTGATCCTCCCCTAATTCTACTATCCCCAATCCATCTGCTGATAGAACAGAGCCTTGGGGGCAAGCTGCACATTCTCGGTCTGGTGTGTATTGCTAGAGAGGGTTTTTTTTTTTCTTGGGAGAGTGCATGTGATCAACACAAGGCCAATCAGCACTGTCCAGACAGCCTCATAGGACAATCAGGGGAGAATGTAAACTCCTCCTCCAAGCTTTAAATAGTGCTCTGCTGGACCCTGATAGAAGTCACAAGACTGCTCTAATTGCTGATGAGAAAATGTATTTAACAGTTTATATTTACTACAATTGAATTTTCACATTCTGTGTACTGTGGGAGACCACATATGGTGAATGCAGGGTCCAGGGTTTAGTAACACTTTTACATAGTTTTTTTTCTGATTTATCTAGACTAGCACCATCACCAATAACATGACTAGCACAGAGCTTGAGAGGATGGGAGGCTGGGAGGAGGAGAATGAGGAACCAGCTGAAGATCCTCCACCTAAAACTCGCTGGGATAAATTCCACACAACTGTTTCCAACTGGATGCTGCCATCAGACCTTAGAGACAAATATCTAGAAAGGACAAACTGTTTACCTCCTCCAATTTTTATCATCTCCATCAGTATTGCTGAGGTATGTTGTAAGCTTACACAAAACTGTCAATTTTGCAGAGGTTAATCAGAAATGAAGACACTGGAGTTGAAGCTGTTATCTAGGAGGATGGTGCCTATGATAATGGGTGACTATTTCCAAATGCCAGCTTTTGAAGGTAAAGTTAGATTTTGTCTTGGCTTCATACGATAAGGAATAAAGGATAAAATATTAACGCAGCACTGTGCTAATGACATAACTTCTATTTTGCTATTAATTATAACTATCAATTCTGACATTTGCATTTCATTTATAAGTATATTTTATACAATAGGACAGACAAATCCTGATGATTGTGAATCTGTGTGGGAATTGGTTATACATTCAGGTCCATAAATATTGGGACATCGACACAATTCTAACATTTTTGGCTCTATACACCACCACAATGGATTTGAAATGAAACGAACAAGATGTGCTTTAACTGCAGACTGTCAGCTTTAATTTGAGGGTATTTACATCCAAATCAGGTGAACGGTGTAGGAATTACAACAGTTTGCATATGTGCCTCCCACTTGTTAAGGCACCAAAAGTAATGGGACAATTGGCTTCTCAGCTGTTCCATGGCCAGGTGTGTGTTATTCCCTCATTATCCCAATTACAATGAGCAAATAAAAGGTCCAGAGTTCATTTCAAGTGTGCTATTTGCATTTGGAATCTGTTGCTGTCAACTCTCAAGATGAGATCCAAAGAGCTGTCACTATCAGTGAAGCAAGCCATCATTAGGCTGAAAAAACAAAACAAACCCATCAGAGAGATAGAAAAAACATTAGGCGTGGCCAAAACAACTGTTTGGAACATTCTTAAAAAGAAGGGATGCACCAGAGAGCTCAGCAACACCAAAAGACCCGGAAGACCACAGAGAACAACTGTGGTGGATGACCGAAGAATTCTTTCCCTGGTGAAGAAAACACCCTTCACAACAGTTGGCCAGATCAAGAACACTCTCCAGGAGGTAGGTGTATGTGTGTCAAAGTCAACAATCAAGAGAAGACTTCACCAGAGTGAATACAGAGGGTTCACCACAAGATGGAAACCATTGGTGAGCCTCAAAAACAGGAAGGCCAGATTAGAGTTTGCCAAACGACATCTAAAAAAGCCTTCACAGTTCTGGAACAACATCCTATGGACAGATGAGACCAAGATCAACTTGTACCAGAGTGATGGGAAGAGAAGAGTATGGAGAAGGAAAGGAAGTGCTCATGATCCTAAGCATACCTCCTCATCAGTGAAGCATGGTGGTGATAGTGTCATGGTGTAGGCATGTATGGCTGCCAATGGAACTGGTTCTCTTGTATTTATTGATGATGTGACTGCTGACAAAAGCAGCAGGATGAATTCTGAAGTATTTTGGGCAATATTATCTGCTCATATTCAGCCAAATGCTTCAGAACTCATTGGACGCCACTTCACAGTGCAGATGGACACGGACCCAAAGCAAACTGCAAAAGCAACCAAAGAGTTTTTTAAGGGAAAGAAGTGGAATGTTATGCAATGGCCAAGTCAATCATCTGACCTGAATCCGATTGAGTATGCATTTCACTTGCTGAAGACAAAACTTAAGGGAAAATGCCCCAAGAACAAGCAGCAACTGAAGACAGTTGCAATAGAGGCCTGGCAGAGCATCACCAGGGATGAAACCCAGCGTCTGGTGATGTCTATGCGTTCCAGACTTCAGGCTGTAGTTGACTGCAAAGGATTTGCAACCAAGTATTAAAAAGTGAAAGTTTGATTTATGATTATTATTCTGTCCCATTACTTTTGGTCACTTAACAAGTGGGAGGCACATATGCAAACTGTTGTAATTCCTATACCGTTCACCTGATTTGTATGTAAATACCCTCAAATTAAAGCTGACAGTCTGCAGTTAAAGCACATCTTGTTTGTTTCATTGCAAATCCATTGTGGTGGTATATAGAGCCAAAAATGTTAGAATTGTGTTGATGTCCCAATATTTATGGACCTGACGGTAGTATTCTGTTGTACGTTATCCTTACATGGCATCCTAACATGTGGCTTTCTTTTTGTATTATCGTGACCCAGCTGGCAGTATTCATATATTATGCAGTCTGGAAGCCACAGAACCAATGGATCACACTGGATGCTGGTATTGCCAAAAGCCCCTTCACCTACGTACCAGAAAAAAGAGAGGAAGCCTGGAGATTTATATCCTATATGCTGGTTCATGCTGGGTGAGTATGGAAGGGTAAGCGCTTCCTTTCCTCAATATTAATAAATTATATCTTTAATAACAATGAATGATCTATTATACAACAAAACAATTACAGTAAAGCCAGTAAAAATAGTTACATGGATGTTTGACATATGGTTCATGTCACCCATTGACCTCTACACTATTTTAACAAGTGCATGGACATCCATGAGTGTATCACACAGGGTTTCTTGTCCATGCACTCACCAGAACAAATGTCATAACTAAAGGATCACCTGCTATTGGGCAGAAAGATTTATTAGAGTTTTCCACAATCACAGTGTGAACAATACAGAAATATTTCTTCTGTTGTCTTTCTTTTCCTAAAATCAATATGTCCAGGCTACATTAGTTACATTGTTATGACATGACTGTTCCCAATTCTCAGTGTACAGCACATCATTGGCAACCTGTTTCTTCAGCTTCTTCTTGGAATCCCATTGGAGTTAGTTCATAAAGGCCATCGCATTGCATTGGTGTACCTAGCAGGAGTCCTTGGAGGTCAGTACCATTGGAGGTAGAACTTCTTTAAATTTGTAAGCTACTTAAAGTCTTATAACTTTATTGGGGAGAATTTAACAAAACATTTGCATCTATTTTTCTGGTGGTATGGTCCTTTAAAAAAGCCTGCGCCAAAATCCCTGCCACTCATTGTGGTAGCTTTACTGGCACGTGCAGCAGATTTATGTAGTTCTTAATAGGGCCACTTTGTAAAAAGCAGCAAATTAAAAAATAACTACCTTCAGTTTGTAGATAATGAAACTGGTTGTAACTAACCAACTGTAAGTTGTGGTACAGAGACAGGTAGAGTGCATGTCTCTTTATGCTGTGTAGCAGGTGATATATTTGCTGCTGCTAACCCCTTCCCTCCACACCTGTCACTGGTTGTTAGAGATGCTGTGAACTTCACAGTCGTCAGTCTCTTCTCAAACAGTGGCGCTGACAGTGGGCGGAGCCTGATGGGGATGCAGATTCACTAATTTCCCATCAGGTCTGCACTTTTCCTGTGATTGACAGCAGGCAGATTCTATAGTGAATTGCAGACTGTTTATTGTCTATGGATCTACCCACTGCTAGCTGTCAGTTACAGATATAGCGGACCTGATGGGGAACTAGCGTCCCTGAATCCCCATCAGGCTCCGTCCCCATCTTCAAAACTCCTTCAATACTTCTTGGCTACTGTGCCGTCTTTGTGATAGCAGCAGTACAGGAGGGAGTTCAGCTGAACTGAGAACCTTTAGCCTCAGTGGGTCACATCACATGTCAAACAACAAAAAAGAAAAATTCCGAGCTCTAGCTTGCCAGCCAGCCTGCAAACAAACCAAATTAACCTGTCTAACAGTACGCATTAAAAACAGGGGTTTAGTTAGCACACATTTGCAAATACATGCATAAGCTGCAGAGCCTCGTCAGGGCATCCCAGCATTCTGTAGTTCCTAACTCTCCAATTTTAAGAGCCCCCATAGTAGAGGCATGTGTATTTAATGGATAGACCAAGGCAGATAGACCTGAGGGAGCCCACCCCTCCTTAAAGGTACAGGAGCACACTGGACACCCAGCATATAGCACAATGGCAGCTAAGGTGTCCAGTGCACCCCCTCGATCAATAATTCAACAGTACAAAAAATGGCCTTGCCCCAGTCTATAACTGGCAAGTTGGTCGAGGGGGCGCACTGGACACCTTTCAAGCTAGAGCTTGGAATTTTTCTTTTTTGTTGTTTGACATGCGTCGCCCTTCCATGTGCTCCTTGCTGTGAAGACCAGTTATAGACTGGGGCAGTGGCCATTTTTTGTACTGTTGAATTGTTGGTTGAGGGGGCGCACTGGACACCTTAGATGCCATTGTGCTACATGCTGGGTGTCCAGTGCACTCCTGTACCTATAAAGAGGGGTGGGCTCCCTCAGGTCTATCTGCCCTTGGTCTATCCATTAAATACACGTGCCTCTACTATGGGGGCTCTTAAAATTGGAGAGTTAGGAAGTACAGAACACTGGGGTGCTGTGATGAGGCTCTGTAGCTTAAGCATGTATTTCCAAATGTGTGCTAACTAAACCCCTGTTTTTAACGCATACTGTTAGACAGGTTCATTCGGTTTGTTTGCAGGCTGGCTGGCAAGCTAGTGCTCGGAATTTTTCTTTTTTGGTGTTTGACATGCGTCGCCCTTCCATATGCTCCTTGCTCTGAAGGCCAGTTATAGACTGGGGCAGTGGCCATTTTTTGTACTAGGGTCACATCACATACCTACATTCATGACACAACAGGAACCTGAATGGGTCACCTGCATTAGCATTTGTCGTGAATTCTAAAGGATGTCGTAGACCCTCTTTAAAAAATCCCCCTGTATGTGTCTACTGTTGTTTAATGGAAAGCCCTATTACACAGGAAAACAGTGTGTGTATGAAACATCCTTATTAATGCCCCAGTAAATATATCTACAATTCTTCTGCGATACAGCTCTGCAAAACAGGTATGCAGCTCATTTATTATCACAATCAATGACCTTTATACACTGAACAGCACAGGAAAAATGCAGCCAAATGAAACCTTCTGTTCCACCCAAACCCAATTCACTCTGAAACTGCTAGAAATATTCAGAGCACATTGATATAAATAAGTTGTTTCCTTGTCATTTTCAGGATCATTAGCTAGCTCCATCTTTGATCCATACCTAGCTTTGGTTGGAGCCTCTGGAGGAGTCTATGCCTTAATTGGTGGCTATTTCATGAATGTCATAGTGGTGAGCATCTTCACATGTTTTATTACATAATACTTTAACATGTATTGCACTTATTTTCATTGGGAAGTTGCTACTTAGATTTATCATGTGCAACAAGGTAAATTCCCCAAGAATAGTGCTGCGCTTGGGAAATTTTTCTATTGATGTGGGAACACATTCAGGTGCCTGCAGCAGCTTAACTTTCATTTGTGGTAGAGCATGAGTATTGTATCCTTATCAACAAGGTAAATTGTATCCAAAAGCATGGGATGAATTATTATCTACCATAGTAGACTGTAATAGCCAATAGTGCAGCTACCATTCTTGCTAGCAATGGTATATCTGATACTACTACTGAAATGACAGTTGAGAGTTGCAGTTTTAGAAACTTGTGCTATCCAACAAGTGACAGCCTGATACAGTCTTCATAAATATTGTTCACAATCTAGAGAGATACATAGTAACACAACTTTTGTATCTTCTCTGTTCCATTCATCTGTAGATTAAAGGGATGAGCTTTGACCTGCATGCTATGTCAGTTGAAGCAATCTTACAAGTTAAAAAAAAAATTTGTTTTTTAAATAAAATTTCTTCCTATTTAAAGCGGTGTTCCACCCAAAAGGGGAAGTTCCACTTCAAAGATTGGTCCCCGCTCCCCATTAAGGATTGGCTCCTTTGGGGAGCGTGGGGGGAACAGGGCGATCGGAAACGGAAGTTGTCCTCCTACCCTCCCTCCTCGAAGTTTTGTGGGACACGTGACAGGTCCAAGAAGACGACGGGGCCTGTCAGGAAGCGCAGCGCTACTTGCGCATGCACAGAAGGTACCCGACTGTGAAGCCACAAGCTGTCACAGCCGGGTTCCCACACTGAAGATGCTGGCACCTGGAATACAGGACGGCCGGTGAAATGGGCTGTGGCGGGGCAATGCGGGATCGTGGAACAGGTGAGTGGCTGTTTTTGTAGCTGCTGACTTTTATTTTTTTACAGTGTGAATGGAACTCCGCTTTAACTCCTAATAGCTCTTAGTTTACTTTAATCTGGCCTAATTAACTTCTTCTTCCCCTTCTCCCCTTAAAGGATATGTTCACCTTTTGGACAAAAATAATAAATGCAGGTAAAAAAAATGTGCATTTATTATTTTTGTCTACAGGAGCCTGTAAACCATTGCACCAGCGATCAGTAGATCGCTGATGCCATGCAGGTCTCCTGCAGACCTGTTGGAATATCTGCTTGCCGTACGGAATGTACGAACAAGCAGATATAATGACAGGAAGCTTCAATGAACTACCACGGGGCTCCACAGCTCTGTAGTAGTTCATGAAAAAAACTACAAGTCCACAGCCCCTAAGGCTGTCGGGACTTGTAAGAACTCATTTACAGACCACTGTGAATGAGTGACAAGGCCGCGTGTACGGATCCCCGCACGACAGCGCTGTTTTCAAATCTGACAAATAGTATGGGGAAACTTCTCCCTCTACTATCTGTCAGAGGGAGGGGGTGGTGGGCACGGCTGCGGCTATGGGAACATGTTACATATTCCACCCTAAAAACGGGTGGAACATGTAATATGTTCCAAAGATGAAATTATCCTTTAAATATTATTTTCCTGATGGTAGGTTAATTGGATCCTGTCGAAATTGGCCCTAGTATGTGTATATATGAATGTGAGTTAGGGACCTTAGATTGTATGCCCTTTGAGGGTTAGGGATTGATGTGAATGTACAAAAAATATATATATATATATATATATATATATGTGTGTGTGTGTGTAAAGCGCTGCGTAAATTGATGGCGCTATATAAGTACCTGTAATAAATAAATAATTATTATTATTATACAGTATTTATAAAGCGCCGATAGTTCGCTCAAATAATAAAATAATATATTTTTTTCTAGCCACTAATATAAAAACTTTTTTTTATCTGTTTTATTCAATAATTTGTTTAGTGTTGCATTCAAAAAATGTAAAAAAGCCTTTTTTTTGCAAATTACTTTGCTAAGAATCAGAACTTAGCTGCTATTTTAAACAGGGCAAAATGAAATGTTCACTTTTCATCTGCAATAACAACATTCTTTTAAAACAATCAACACAGAAAAAAAGTGTGTTTTTTTTCGTTTTCATTTATCTTTTTCCTATGGATAGCATAAAAATAGATAATAGATAGATAGATAGATAGATAGATAGATAGATAGATAGATAGGTTTAGATAGATTGATTTAGTTTGTGCTTAGATAGGTAAATTTAGTTGTCGCACTGTAGACAGTGCGGTTGTAATTGTTGTTAGGTAAAAGCATAACTTGCACACTGTAATCAGTGTTGCTGAGTTCTGCGAGTTAGGTCTGCTTAGTATGTTCAGCTGCTGCCAACCTGGTAGCTCCCTCTGCCTTCAGAAAGCTTGAGAAGCTTCTAGATAAAAGGTGTGGAACTATGCAGATGGCAGCATGAATATTGATACAGCCCTGGCCTATCCCAGAGAGGTGGGTTCTGATGGCATGCTGGTTAACTTTATTTATTCAGTGAGCACACTGAGTTCTGGGTCTTTTCTGTATAGGATTGTTGCAGCCTGGAGAGGGCATGCTGCCTTTCCTGGTAATGCTCCTAGATCTGCCGTAGGCCTCAGGTGGGTGACCTAAGGGCCTGATTGCAAAAATGTATTACCTTTCCGTGCAGCGGCGCAATCTGTTACCGGCCGTGTACCTCGGACATGGCCAATGACAGATCTGAGTACCGACCCCTGTTGCCGGTACCATGTGACCTGCTGTGACCAATCACAGCAGGTCACATGACAGTTGTATACAATGGATGGCTTCATTCATGCCATCCATTGTATACTAGTGCCTAGCTGTGAATTGTCACAGCAGGTCACATGCACATGTCATGTGACTAGCTGTGGCCAAATCACAGCTAAGCACAAAAAAAAACCCTGAATGAATCGATGTCATTCAGGTAAATGCTTGCTTATAGCCAAGTAATTCTTTGCTATAAGCAAATTGTGTAAAAAAAAAAAAATACTGACCACTTCCCCAAAGTAGTACAATGTTACTATGGTAACATTGTACTACTTTGAACATAGTTAAAATCTGAAAAAAAAATCTTAAAAAAAAGAAAAAAAATTTAATAAAAAATTTAAAATTAAAAAAAAAATATATATATATTTTTTTTTTTCACACTGTCACCAGTCAGTGTCCCTGATCACCGCCATGCCAGTTATATGATGACGCTGTACTGCACTGGTGACAGTATGTAAAAAAAAAAAATAGTGAAAATAATTTTTTTTTTTCATTTTCCGAAAAATTATGACAAAAAAATACAACTTCAAAAAACTCACCATGCCTCTTATGAAATACGTCGGACTGTCTACTTTGCAAAAAGGGGTCATTTGGGGGATATCTGTACTGTTCTGACATTCTTGGACCTCAAGAAATTAGATTGGCTGTCAGTACTTCAGGATTGATCAATATTCAGATCTATACCATAGTTTGTGAACTCTATAACTTTCCTACAAACTAAATAATACATCCTAATTTGGGTTATTTTCACCAAAGACATGTAGCAGAATACATCTCGGCCTAAATTTATGAAGAACAATTATTTATTTGCAAACCTTTATAACAGAAACAAAGAAAAACGTGTGTTTTTTTCAAACTTTTCTGACTTTTTTGCTAATTTAGCAAAAAATAAAAACCCCAGCGATGATTAAATACCACCAAAAGAAAGCTCTAGTTGTGTGAAGAAAATGATAAAATTTTATTTTGGGTACAATGTTGTATGACCGTGCAATTGTCATTCAAAATGTGAGAGCACTGAAACCTGGAAAATAGCCTGGGCAGGAAGGTGTAAAATTGCACCGTATTGAATTGGTTAATGCGGAACTTCCCCCTTTTGGGTGGAGCTCTGCTTTAAGCGTTAAGCAAACCTGTAGTGAGAAAGGTCTAGATGCTGCTATTGATAACTCCCTTTTGAAAATGCTGGTTGCCTGGCAGTTTTACTGATCCAATGGCTCCGATACGTTCTGAGTGACTGACAAGTATGCAAATCAGGGGTTGTAATGTCAGTCTGATTTTTCAAATCTGCATGCTTGTTCCAGGTCAGTGTCTCAAGCAGTACTAAAGCCAGAGACAGCTAGACTACTAGAATTTTAGATAGAGGTCAGTGTTTCAGGGTAAAGGTTACTGGACGATTAAGGGCTTGTGTACACTAGCTTTTCTCTCTGAAGAGCAATCCACATTTGGATCACTTTCAAAGAGCATTTTACAGGAGGTGAGGAGACATTGTATTGTCTCTTTACCACCTACTTTAACCCTTTGAAGTTAGTGCAATGCCTGTGGTTGTGCAGCCATGGCTGTAAAACAAAGCACTGCATTTGTATGTCGCACCAGCAGCCAGCAGCAATTGCGGGGCAGTAGAAGTGTGGCTCAAACGCAGGGTTTTATCCCCCCCCCCATTTACTAATGTGAAGTCTTTGTGTTAAGGGAAACTTTTTTCTTTTTGTAGGGGAGAACTATTAGATTCTATCAGTTACATTTGATTTCAGTGCAGAAAGCTTTGTGCCAAGCTTCCAGTGCCAAAGATAACATGCAGATGCCTCTTTTCAGAGAACCTGGGAGTGATGGGTGCCTTCATTTTATTGTCATCTTTTCAGTTCTGTTTCCCTCTTTTTTTCTTTTAAAGCACATTTAAAACCTAAAAAAAAAAGAATAATAATTTACTAGAGAACATCAGTACTTGGATATGATGGCTGAATTTGTTTTCTTTTATTAGGTGTTTTACCCTTTATTTTCACCTGGTAATGCTGCAGATAACACGCCTTCTGCCCTAGGGTGGCTAAGTTAACTCTTCCACTGCATCTATAGAGGCAGCCATGGTTGTCAACCTAGCCTGCTCTCCTCATTTGGACTACAAACACATCTTCCTCTCTTCATCTCCATTACATGGAGAGTGGAGAGAGGGGGGACTTGTAGTTTACAGAAGATAGCATGGAAGGCAGATAGGATTGATTGTGCTTTCAGTTCAACTCACAGGCAGTTACAAGGACACTGCATCTGTGGGAAGATCACCAAGTAATTTCTGTACTTGCTGATGACGTTTTTTTTTTTTTTTTTAAATTAAAACAAAATGCAGCCAATGCATCTAAGGACTGGTAAGCTGCAATATGATACATTTTTATTTTGCTGGTTAAGTTCAAAGTTAATATTAAGGCTCCATGCACACTGGGCGGTTTAGTAACGCTGGTAGCACTAGCTGTGTAAAGTCATGTTAAAAATGCAGGTTTTTCAGCTTTTTGTAGCATTTTTGCATTAGCGTTTAGCCGCATTTTTCTACGTTTGCGTTTTTTAGCTCCCCCCTTCCCCCCCCAAAAAAAGTGTTTGCTCAAAAAAGTCCAGAAATGCCAGTTTGCTGCAGTTTACCGTGTTTTGCCATGTTTTACGGGGTTTTTCAGCGTTAGAGCGTTTATACAGCTAAAGAACTCCTCTAGAAACTCACTAGTTCTTGGGGGGGGTTTTTCCAGCAAAAAATGCATGGACACATAGGATAGGCCACATAGGCTGGGGAGTTTACTGGCTGTAGAAAAAAATGGCAAAAGCCAAAAACAGCAGATGTAAAAACATCCAGTGTGCATGAGGACTTTTAACCATTCCTGCATTGTTAGCATTATGAGCAGTGTGTACGTTTGTAATAATCCACTTTACCCTTCTCTGCAGAATTTCAAGGATATGGTACCATTGTTTGGAATTTTTAGAATTCTGGTCATTGTAGTAATAGGTAAGAATTACAGTCTAACAACATTTTATTGAATCTATTTCTAAGCATTTTAATTGCTGTTTTTTGTCCATATACACTCACCGGCCTCTTTATTAGGTATACCTGTTCAATTGCTTGGTAATCAGCCAATCACATGGCAGCAACTCAATGCATTTAGGCATCTAGAGGTGGTGAAGACGACTTGCGGAAGTTCAAACCAAGCATTAGAATGTGGAAGAAAGGGGATTTAAGTGACTATGAACGTGTCATGGTTGTTGACACCAGATGGGCTGGTCTGAGTATTTTGAAAACTGCTGATCTACTGGGATTTTCACACACAGCCATCTCTAGGGTTTACATAAAATGGTCTGAAAGAGAGAAAATATCCAGTGAGCGGCAGTTGTGTGGACAAAAATGCCTTGTTGAGGTCTGAGAAGAATGGGCAGACTGGTTCAAGATGATAGAAAGATAACAGTAACTCATGTCAATATGGACCACAATCTCTGAGGAATGGTTCCAGCACCTTGTTGAATGTATGCCATGAAGAATTGAGGCAGTTCTGAAGGCAAAAAGGGGGTCCAACCTGGTACTAGCAAGGTGTACCTAATAAAGTGGACGGATAGTGTATTGTCTAAGCCAGTGGCATAAGATAATAATATTTACTATTATTACTGCAATCTCATGTACATAAAAGTGCACAGGTTGATGGCTACTTAAAAATACTACGAGTAAAATAAAGAAAACTTCATCATGTAAACTGTAATAGGATGCAGATCCATACATACTGTGTGTGTTTTGTAAGAATTTTAGGTACAGTATATTTTCACTTCTAACATCTTCCATTTTATTTATTTATTTCAGGTACTTATATAGCACCTTCAATTTATGCAGCACTTTACATATATATTGTACATTCACATCAGTCCCTAACCCTCAAGGGGTGTACAATCTAAGGTCCCTAACTCACATTCATATACAAGGGCCAATTTAGACAGGATCCAATTAACCTAACCGCATGTCTTTGGAGTGTGGGCAGAAACCAGAGTACCTGGAGGAAATCCACGCAGGCACAGGGAGAACATGCAAACTCCAGGCAGGAGGAGCTGTGGCTGGGATTTGAACCAACAACCCAAGTAGTGCCAGGTGGAAGTGCTAACCATTTAGCCACACTGTGCATTTCTGTTATTGTCCTTATAGAGTGTAGTGCTCCTTTGCAGCTCAGTTTTTCCCTTCTATTTCCTAACAAAGTTAACTTTAAAAATCTGTAGACACAAGACTCCCTTCTTATAAATTTACAGAATCTGTGTTTCCTGTAAAAGTGGCAGCTTGCTAGGATAGCTTACGGTCGGCTGGCAGGGCTCAGTAGATCATACATATCTAAATTGCTGTCGGAGAAGCCTTCTATCAAATACAAAATCATGTAGTCTTAAGGCCTTTTTATACTGGCTTTGCTCCATTCAGCTGGGGATCCTTGAGTAGATCCCTTTCTGAATCGGGGGTGAACGGGGGAGATGTTGAATTTTTAAATCCGTGCCGTTTAATTTGTGTCTGTTTAATTTTGATAACAGTGGACCCATGATGGCTCTACAGGTGGCTGGATGTAAACAGATTTATTTATTTCAGGTACTTATATAGTGCCGTCAATTTACGCAGCGCTTTACATATATATTGTACATTCACATCAGTCCCTAACCCTCAGGAGGTGTACAATCTAAGGTCCCTAACTCATATACATACTAGGGACAATTTAAACAGGATCTAATTAACCTACCAGCATGTCTTTAGAATGTAGGAGGAAACCAGAGTACCTGGAGAAAACCCACACAGGCACAGGGAGAACATGCAAACTCCAGGCAGGTGGTTCCGTGGCTGGGATTTGAACCACCAACCCTAGTACTGCCAGGCCAAAGTGCTAACCATTTAGCCACTGTGCTGCCCTAAGATATGTTGATGTATGAAGAGCAAAATAAGTTAAATTGTATCCATACCCAAAACTTTTTTAGCTTTGAATAGAATAGGAAAATGTTAGAATCCCTGTTAGGCTTTTCTGCTATCCGGGGCTCTATTATAGATATTTTTCCCCACTTCTTGTCCTGTGGACATCCATTTTACCAGAAATTAATTGAAGGAATAACTCCAACAGCACCTCAGAGTTCTAATCCTTTCTCACTTTATCCAAAACTAAAACAATATTTTGGCTATATATATACTTTAATATTATTTGTCTCAAAAGCAAAGCAATATAGGAATAATAAAAGTGTTAAAGAATATGGGCACATTGGCTAAAAACTCTCCAGCAACCCTCCCTCCTGTGCCAATAAGTGTAATAAGACTGAATACCTTAGATGTCTTGGAATTTCAGCTTTCTACTGTGTGCACTAATTGTGTCCTTTTTAGTTTGTTATTTAATTTTTTTTAATTGGGTTATTCTTTAGTATACACAAAGAAAAGTTTCAATGTCTCTTTATATTACAGTTGGAACAGATGTAGGATTTGCTTTATTTAGAAGATATATTTCTAAAATCGCTGGGCCAAGGGTAAGTTGGTCTTCTTGTAATTTATAAGGTAACAGGCAAAGGAAAGGGGAAGGTTTTGCCCTTGGAAGCCCATCTTATTTTTTGATATTCTAAATTAAAATTGTTGCTCTTGAAAAAGCCTTGTAGGGTGTGTTATGTTGTACTACACTTCAACTTGATCACCATGGTCAAGCCTTGCAGAATGGTATCCATGTGGGAAAAAATGTTGGAACTATGCTGGTTCAAAGAACAGGACACTGGTCTCCAAACTGTGGCCTGGGGGCCAGATGCTGCCCTTTTCCTGCTTTTATCTGGCCCTTGGGGCACTATTTAATCTACTGATACCAACAATTGGGTGTAATAGGGCACAATTCCTCCCAGTGACACAAATGATAGGGTCCAATCACATCAATGACGAGGTACAATTACTTCGAGTGACACAAATGATAGGGTCCAATGACCACAATGATGGGGCAGAATTCCTCCCAATGACACCAAACAATGGGGCATTATTTTTTTCCCACTGACATCGGGACCTTTTCTACTCTCACTAGCTGCAGTCCAGCCCTCGTACAGTCTGAAGGATAGTAAACTGGCCCTTTGCTTAGAACGTTTGGAGACCCTTGCCTTAGGACAGCATATGACATCTGGAGTCCCCCCACCTTGTGTGCATCAGGGTCCCCATAGCCCATCCCCTTATATCAGGGGCCCCCTCCTTAAATTAGGTTTCCCAGAGTCCTCCCTCCATACATCAGGATCCCAAAAGTCCCCCCTAATACATCAGGGTCAGTTCTTTACATTATGGTCTCCAGAGTCCCCCCCCCACCTTACATGGGTCCCCATAGGCCCTCCCTTTACATCATGGTCCCCCAGAGCCCCCCTTCTTAAATCTGGGTCCCCATAGTCCTTACCACCTACATCAAGGTCACAAGAGCCCACCCAATACATCAGGGTCCACCTTTACATGATGGTCTCGATAGTCCCCCCATCCATAGACCCTCCCCATACATAAGTATCCCCCAGAGACCCAGATCCCTTCCCTTAAATAAGGGTTCCCAGAGTTCCCCCCTTCCCTTACATCAGGGCCCCAAAAGTCCCCCCAATACATCAGGGTTCCCCTATACATCATGGTCTTCAGAGTCCCCCACCTTACATCAGGGTCCCTAGAGTCCATTCTCTTTAATTCAGGTCCCCAAAGTTTCCCCTGCCCTTACATAAGGATTGCCTAACCCCCCTTACCTCAGGGTCCATTCCATCTCATTCCTCCAGGCAGCTACATGAGCTGGAAGAAGGAAGTCCTGTTCTTTCCCGCTCTCTTCCTTCTTTGAATGCCATGGCCTGGGGGTAGGGCAAGCACCTGATTGGTCGTTAGGACCGCTGATATCCTAGCAACCAATCACGTGCTTTCCCCGCTCCCACTAGCGCTGACAGTGACAACACAGGGCAGTGGCGTGGCAGTGGATGTCACCTGGCTCTGATTCACAGCCTGCCTGTTGGTAATGTGGTAAGGCTGAGCCAGGTGGCTCCAGGCAGGGTGCTCTGGGGGGGTTCAGACCTCCCAAACCTCCCCTTATCTGCACTTCTGCACCCAAACACAGCCGAGCCCCCCTCCCGCCCCAGCACACACGAGCCCACCCCATGCGCCCAAACACAGCCGAGCCACCCCCCATCCTAAGCACACACGAGCCCCCCCCCTGCCCGAGCACAGCCCTTTGTGGATGGCACTGGTCCCTTCTGCCTGGGGGCGATGCCACCCCCCTGAAAAATGCTGCCCAAGGCCGGTTCCTTGTTTGCCTTACGGCAGATACGTCCCTGATTATGGGCGTTTATGAGAGCTTATTTGGGACACCTACAAGATTTACAGTAATGAGACATGATTAAAAACCAAAGTATATTTTCCATTTCCAACATTTAAAAAGCATTTCAAATCTTGAGTTTAGTTAAATGAAAAGAAAAAAATCAGTACAAGGGACTGTGCATTACATTTAGGTGAACTGTGTCTCTTGTGTTGCTGGCTATTGTTTTAGTTGCAATAGAAGACTTCTGCTGTGATCCTCTGGTGCTGTGAGGATTAATAGAGCTGAGGGACCTGTCATTTCTGCCCCCCCCCCCCTGTCATTCATAGAAGCTGCACTATAGCTTCCATCATCGAAAAATAATCAATGAATGGAGGATGGGCAAAAGAATGAAAGGTCCACTCCTCCATTCATAGATCTCTTTTCATTGATAGAATCTATAGTAAAACTTTTTTAAATTGTTTTTTTTTTTTGACTGAACTGTAGATGGATCTTTTTTTTTTTGTCAGCTGGTTTCTCAAAAAGAAAAGAAAACAATGGATTTCCCCATCCACACAACCTAGGTGGATAGAGGAATCCTTCCTACTGTACTATTGTATTATGACAGTGGGGATGCCTCTGCTGTCATAATACATTGATCAGTGATGCCGCCTTTTGGATGCATGTGCTGATCAAAGGACATTTTTCCAACATTCCCATTCAAGAGAAGCTGATCTTTAGATCGACTTCTCTCTAGCGGGAATGGCCATAGATAGATTGAAGTTCCTCTGCTCCCTGCTGAACTAGCCCAATTTTGATTCATCTGTGTTCAGCTTTAGGCTTCAGAAAATTGATTTACTTCCTTTGCACATTTTTTTATGTGACATTATTTCATGTAATACAGTCTACTTTACAGTCAATTGTTTAAATGCTCTATGTTTACATTTTTACATTATGACCGTATATAAGACAAAATACCTTTATTTTGACTATACTTATATCAGCATTATTCTAGAGTATTCCCACATCCCAGATAATGATTACTGGTCAACCAAACTTTGGTTGACTGACTTGGCTGATGAAATGGAGGGCATTACAACAGCAATTTGATATGTTCATGTTTGTTTATATAGATGTGTTTACTTTTCTGTAATACATATTAAATTTTGTTTACTTGTACTTTACCATGTTTTCGATGTATATCTTCCAATTTTAGGTGTCATTTGTGGCTCACTTTGCTGGATGTCTGGCTGGAATGTCCATTGGTTATACAGTATTTAGCTGTTTTGATAAAAACCTGATAAAAGACCCCAGGTTCTGGATCTGCATTGCTGCCTACTTAGCTTTTGTGGTTTTTTCAGTACTGTTCAATATATTCTTGTCTCCTGCGCCTTAAACCGGATATCTGTGGAACAAGTATTCTAAGTTATCTACAACATCAATGTGCCATGTTTCTGGCCTGGTGCTTAGAAGCAGGGATGGCAATCTGATTAAACCTGGAACGTGCATGCAACAGCCAGTAGGAAGCTTTAAATGTGCCTAATTTGACCAAATTCCACTCTTGTTTATAATTTGCAAATGGGAGATTATTGCTAAAGTAGAATTCTAAAACACCCTGACTTCACAAGGAGATTTACTTTCTATGAATAACTATTTACGTTGCATGCCCAAATGGAGGAGTAAATGATATTGTTTTGAAAGCACTACATATTGAACCAGATACTTTCATAGATATACTTGGATATTATTACATTTCTAATGGACCTTGAAGATTTACCTTGAAGATCCTTAACTTGTTTACAAAGTGGATTCAAAAAAGTATATATTAACAACAAGGGAAACAAACTGAAATGGGTATCTGTAGACTGAAAATCTTCAATGCTAATGTACAGTACGTATATTTGAATTTTGTTATAAAAACGTTTTGATATTCTATGCTTGATGATTGAGTCATTTTTATCTATAGTTGGTTTGTTCTCTTTTTTCCCTTTGCTTGAATGATTATTTATAGTGGAACCTGAGTATATAAAAACGTGATCCTGTGCTATGCCCATGCCGGAGAAAGCAACAGGTTCACTTTCATTCTTCCACCTTCTCCTTCCCAGCAGTACTTACTTAACTTACCCTCACTCCTCTGTCATAGTTACATAGTTACATAGTTAGTCCGGCTGAAAAAAGACAAAAGTCCATCCAGTTCAACCATAGAAAAAAAAAAAAAAAGTTTTAATCATATACCCACAGTTGATCCAGAGGAAGGCAAAAAAAAAAGGTCTGTCACTCCATTCTTTTTCCAGGAGTAGGAGAACTACCCTGCATAATGCAATGTTGTTCAAGTAGTAAATTACACAGGGCTATAGATCACCCCCATGTGATAATGCTTCCATTGTTGTGTTGTAGATTGTGTATATTTTGGATGCTGGCAATTTGATCACTCAACTGGATCCTTTTTGTTATATATACATGTGACAATGCTTTCGCTTAGTGATTGGCACAACACTGTCACATTGAGTTAGTCCTGTGCTCCTCCATACCTAACCAGAACAACAGGATGCAAAGGAAAGTGCTTAGTATGTGCTTCTTGGTTTTGAGGGATTGAATCAAACGCATTGCTTTGCCCTACATAAACAAACACAGATTTACTTTTCCAGTTTGTGCGCAAAGAAAATCATCTGTTTCTTTCAGCGCTTCCTTAGCACTCTTGCCAAGCAGCACAGCCTGGTTCTTTCCCTTCCCAGTAGCAGTGCAGCTTAATTAGGAACACTGGATTACTCCTGCCAACTGTTGCCAATTGTGCTGTAGCAGAGTCTGTTTGGCTCTTACATTTAGTCCTTCCTCTTCCAGTCCAGTGTTGCTGTAGAGGAAATTAGAAATGGCATACCTGATTAATATAAATTCATATTTTCCTGGAGATTGGCTTTAATCTAAAACTGTTATTTTTTCAAAATTGCTCAGTGCCCATACATATATTATTTTTAGGTGGTTCTTTTCTGCTAACAGCAATATGTGAGTCAGGATTCAAACATTTGTCAGGCGTTAGCTCCTTCCCTGTTTTCCACATGGTTACTTCCCTTTTCAGCTATACAGGAGGCTCTGTCAGAAAAAAGGGGAAGAAAATCGGGGATTTCAAATCCCTGAACAGCTACAAAGGCTGTGTGGGCACTGATATCTCATCATCCATGGAGGTAAGTACAGTGGAGATCGGTGGGGTTCACCTCTCTAAAAAAAAAGATGAACTTACACTTTGAATTTAAAGCAATGTACATCTGCGTGTACATTTGTCTAAGCTAGAAACTGCAAAGTACACTATTGCTCTTGTCATTAAATCTCTCATCCTTTTTATTCATCAATACCAATACATATGGGTAGTCACAGAGCTAAATGTTCTTAAGCAGAAGAGGTCACATTTAAATGAAGGAACCTGCATTACAGTCTGCTGAGTGCGTGATAGCTTTCCTCCTGCTGTGTTTTGGAACAGTACTTTTTAGGTCAAAGCCAGTGCTATTGACGACAATGCTATTGAGCGCACTGAATTAAATGCTTTTGATCTTATGATACGCTCTCAGCATTGCAGCAGTGCTTTAGGAAATCTGCACAGTTTGTGACACATTATTTTAAATGGAACCTGCAATGAAAGAAAAAAGGAGCTGCCATTGCTGACCTGTTAAAGGTCTGTTCTCTAGAGCAGCCTTTCTCAACCAGGGTGCCCAGGCACCATGGGGTACCTTGAGGTTTCTTCAGGGATGTCTTGGCAAAATGTCTAAAAATTGCATTAAAACTTGTATACAAGCCAGCAGGTGGAACAAGCCTGCCTTTTAGTTACACAAAGCCACCGGTTTTCACTATGCATCACTATGCAACACTCTAGCCATTGGCATCCTGACAACCAATGACATCATCAGTTGATAAGGAGGATATCAGCTGCCTGCACAGCATCCTAGTTTGACCCTCCCCTGCTCCTCTCCATCAGTGCTGGGGTCACATTAACTCAGTGATGGAGAAAAACTGAGGGAGAGGAGAAAAACTGGAATACTAGTCAGTACCAGTGTGCAAAAGTGTATTTGCTTTGGAAGAATAAATCACCTCTAATGTTGGGTGTCCTACGTGTGTGGCTGTTGCTCCATTATATACAGTGGGGCAAAAAAGTATTTAGTCAGCCACCAATTGTGCAAGTTCTCCCACTTAAAAAGATGAGAGAGGCCTGTAATTTGCATCATAGGTAGACCTCATCTATGAGAGACAAAACGAGAAAAAAAATCCAGACAATCACATTGGCTGATTTGGAAAGAATTTATTTGCAAATTATGGTGGAAAATAAGTATTTGGTCACCTACAAACAAGCAAGATTTCTGGCTCTCACACACCTGTACCTTCTTCTTTAAGAGGCTCCTCTGTCCTGCACTCATTACCTGTATCAATGGCACCTGTTTGAACTTGTTATCAGTATAAAAGACACCTGTCCACAACCTCAAACAGCCACACTCCAAACTCTACTATGGTGAAGACCAAAGAGCTGTCGAAGGACACCAGAAACAAAATTGTAGACCTGCACCAGGCTGGGAAGACTGAATCTGCAATAGGCAAGCAGCTTGGTGTGAACAAATCAACTGTGGGAGCAATAATTATAAAATGGAAGACATACAAGACCACTGATAATCTCCCTCGATCTGGGGCTTCATGCAAGATCTCACCCCGTGGGGTCAAAACGATCACAAGAACGGTGAGCAAAAATCCCAGGACCACATGGGGGGACCTAGTGAATGACCTGCAGAGAGCTGGGACCAACGTAACAAAGGCTACCATCAGTATTACACTACGCCGTTAGGGACTCAGATCCTGCAGTGCCAGACATGTCCCCTTGCTTAAGCCAGTACATGTCCGGACCCGTCTGAAGTTTGCTAGAGAGCAAACTGGGGATTGGGAGAATGTCATATGGTCAGATGAAACCAAAATAGAACTGTTTGGTAGAAACACAACTCGTCGTGTTTGGAGGAGAGAGAATGCTGAGTTGCATCCAAAGAACACCATACCTACTGTGAAGCATGGGGGTGGCAACATCATGCTTTGCGGCTGTTTCTCCGCAAAGGGACCAGGACGACTGATCCATGTACAGTACAGAATGAATAGGGCCATGTATCGTGAGATTTTGAGTGCAAACCTCCTTCCATCAGCAAGGGCATTGAAGATGAAACGTGGCTGGTTCTTCCAACATGACAATGATCCCAAACATACCGCCCGGGCAACGAAGGAGTTGCTTCGTAAGAAGCATTTCAAGGTCCTGGAGTTGACTAGCCAGTCTCCAGATCTCAACCCCATAGAAAACCTTTGGAGGGAGTTGAAAGTCCGTGTTGCCCAGCGACAGCCCCAAAACATCACTACTCTAGAGGAGATCTGAATGGAGGAATGGGCCAACATACCAGCAACAGTGTGTGCCAACCTTGTGAAGACTTACAGGAAATGTTTGACCTCTGTCATTGCCAACAAAGGATATATAACAAAGTATTGAGATGAACTTTTGATATTGACCAAATACTTATTTTCCACCATAATTTGCAAATAAATTCTTTCTAAATCAGCCAATGCGATTGTCTGGATTTTTTTTCTCATTTTGTCTCTCATAGTTGAGGTCTACCTATGATGCCAATTACAGGCCTCTCTCATCTTTTTAAGTGGGAGACCTTGTACAGTTGGTGGCTGACTAAATACTTTTTTGCCCCACTGTAAAACTATTAGAATAGTTTTTCACATTTTAGAATGGGGTGCCTCAGGACTGTCCATAATTTTAAAGGGTGCCTCGGGACTGTCCATAATTTTAGAGGGTGCCTTGACTGAAAAAAGGTTGAGAAACACTGCTATAGAGCAGTGGTTTCCAAATTGCAGCCCGGGGAGCAAGATGTGGCCCTTTATTTGCCCTTATCCTGCCCTTGAGGCATTATTCCTGCCACTGACACCAACAGTTGTGCACTATTCATCCCACTGACACCAATGATGGGATACAATTCCTCTCACTAACACCAACTATTTATCCTGCTAATACCCAAGATGGAGAATTGTTTACTCCCACTAGGCACAGTCTGACCCCCTGGAGTCTGAAGAACAGTAAACTGGCCCTTTGTTTAAAAAGTTTGGAGACCTCTGCTCTAGAGTGTTCATCTTTATGATTCATTTAATAATTTGTAAGTGACTGACCTGAGACCAGTAAGTCCAGATCAGTCAAACCAAAGGTTCAGATGACAACCTGGAGCATGGACTTTGAAAAACAAGTCAGCTGTTTCTTTCATGACAGGTCTCCTTTAATTCATGAAAGTATAGTTATGAATTTGTCAGTTTTTAGGTAAATGGCTATTTAGGCACTGGTTACTATTTAACTTGTGAATCATGCCACCAAGGAGGAATATA